TGTATTAAGTGCTTGAACAAACGACACATTTGGTCGTAATAATTGGGCCTGAACAATCAGCCTATTTGGTCGTATGAGTTGGAGGACTTGTTGGGTTGTCCCTACACCAGGTCACCAGATGGTCCATCTCCCACCTGTAAGCAGACTCGTCCACACCAGAGATGAGTCCGATGAGGGTGGTGTCGTCTGAACTTCAGGAGCTTGAAAGACTGGTGACTGGTGGTGCAGCTGTTGGTGTACAGGGAGAACAGCAGAGGGGAAGAACGCAGCCTTCAGGGGAACCGGTGCTGATGGTCCGGGGGTCAGAGACGTGTTTCCCCAGCCTCACATGCTGCTTCCTGTCAGACAGGAAGTCTGGCACGTGCAGCTGGGAGCTCTTGTCCTGCAACAGAGCCGGGATGATCGCGTTGAAGGCGGAGCTGAAGTCCACAAACAGGATCCTGGCTTAGGTTCCTGCTGTTTCCAGGTGCTGGAGGAGGAAGTGAAGGGCCATGTTGACAGCGTTGTCCACAGACCTGTTGGCTCTGTAGGCGAACTGCAGGGTGTCCAGGAGGGGGTCTGTGATGGATTTGATGTGGGACAGGACAAGGTGGGTCAGGGTGACCTCTGTGATCCTTGTTTTCTTGGGAACCGGGATGATGGTGGAGGATTTGAAGCATGCTGGGACGTGGCGTGTCTCCAGTGAGGTGTTGAAGATGTCAGTAAACCCCTGAGACAGCTGATCAGTGCAGTGCTTCAGGGTGGAGGGGGAGACATTATCTGGGCCATTCACTAAGTAATTCCCTTTGAAAACACAGATTCTCAGCTGGGAATATGTAATGCCAACGTGTTGAGAAATAACTTTATATCGCTTATATATTACTTTTTCCGCTGGCATATACAGCTCTGGAAAAAATGAAGAGACCACTGCAGCATTTTCAGTTTCTCTAGTTTTACTATTTAAAGGTACTGTATGTGTTTGAGTAAAATTATTTTATTTTGTATTTTATTCTCTAAGCATTTCTCTGTGTTGGAATTCAACAGACGCTGGAATGGAATGGCTGCCATACATATTGAGATTTAAGAACAATGTGGAGTGGTCCCTTGATGCTCCGGAGCTGTACTGAATATACACAGGGAAAATCATCTGTATGCATCACTTTGCTTATTTTTGCCGCGCTAACCTATGTCAGTAATGCAGAAAATAGGAACCACAGAGCACTACATGAACCACATGGCTTCATGTTGGGGAGATTAAGCGTTTCTGACTTTCTCTATGCAAATGTGTTGTCTAATTGGTGAAGATGCTTTTATTATTTGCTTGTGTTGTTCCATCTGGCTGTAGACTGTTCTAAAGTTGCAGTGCGCTGAGCTTTCAGAGCCAGTGTGAGTTGTTGTGTCTTCTAACTTCATCAGCTTTATAAATATGTTGTCTCCTCAGAGGTGGAAGCTAAAGGCGGGTCGGACCGCCTCTCTGAGCATCAGCTGTCAGCGACGGTGAACAAATCTGAGCTGCTGAAGATTACCGACAAACACCGCCCCGACGGGACCTGGGCCTTCTGGTACCCCGAGGCAGAGATGGAGCAAACAGAACTGGAGACGGGACAGGAAGTACGGCTGAAGACCAGAGGAAACAGTCCTTTCATATGTGAGGCCAAACCCTGCTGATTTACTGCTTTAAATGTACCGTAGAAAGGAGAAAACAGTGAATGTGCATCCGGTACACTCATTAAAGGAAAGGATACTCTAAGATTTGAAGTAAAATGAATTGAGATAAACTGTTAAAGAACAAATGATAACTAAATAATGACTCCCAATGTTTTTTTCCAAACTTTGAGAGTTATTTGGTCATGATTATTTCATGTTAAAGTGAAATATGTAAGATCTGTGAACACCCGCGGAAGATCTGTAAGCTGACGTACCTTTGTTTCGTTGAATTATCTTCATTTTTGTTGTTTTACGTTTTTGTGTTCTCTTTTTCTTTTGGCTCAATCAATTAAATAAATGAACTTTCCACCTTCATTGTGTCTTCCAGTCTCCTTAGCCGAGGTGGACGGTCACACTGTGACCAAGTGTAACTTCGCTGGAGATGAGAAGGCAGGAGCATCGTGGACGGAGAAGATCTTGGCCAACAAAACGGAGAGAGCCAGCTCCCAGATGCCCGGGGGAGAGGGAGAGGGAGCGGAGGAGGACGAGTGGGTGAGGACGGGAGGACACCTTCCAAATCTCACCCAAGATGAAATACTGGGGCTAATAAAACCTACCTTATTAGTAGTTATAGCGGTGCAGGAATGAGAACTGCATCCTGGAAATAAGTTAGCATTTTAGCACTTTCTCCTCTCCTCTGTCTCAAAGTCAGTAAACACCCCACTGGTATGTGGGAAGCTTCTCTGTGTCATACAAACAGTAGCACGTGAACATTAGCCTTTAGCTTAGTTTACATGCTGTATTCTGTGTATTGCCTTTCAACTAAATGTGAAAGTATCATTGTGCAGCCGACAATTGAGTGGCCCGACCAAGCAAGGAGGCAGAGGCAGAACTAGTGATGGGACGAGCAAAACTGGTGCGTCAGCACTGTGCCGAGAGCCCAAGAGTGAAACCCCGTATTGGTGCGTGTATTGCTTTAAGAACTAATCACGTGACCGATACAGGAAGTGTATCGGTTGAATTTGTTGCGCCAAAGTGTGTTTATAATAGGGGTGCACCGAATGGGAAATTCTTCACCGAAACCGATACCGAAAATAGGAAACAGTTGGCCGAAAACCGAATGCCGAAAGGCCGAAAATGATTAATAGAAATATATATATATAATGTATACATTTTTTACCAATGTTGTTCAGCTGCCTGATTATGGAAAAATAAATGATTATGGCAAAACTTAACTTAAATAATAATCACTATTATGGGTGCATAAAACATTTATTCAGCACTTTTGAATGCATACAGTACATTAATTCCAAGTCAAGTGCATTTTCTTTTCTCTGTAGGATAACTACAACAAAGTGCATTCAGAACAAAGCCAAGGTGCTTTAAAACTACATAAACATCTAGGCCAGTAGGCCTACAACAAACTAGTGTAAATAAAGACTGTAACAGCCAGGCCTTCAACAACAACAAATGCACCTATAAGTGCATGTATACAAATTTGCAAGCTGGATAAATCCACATGAATGTAACTATTTACAAATGAAATTACAATTGAATTTCAAGAATCTGTAAATAAGGCTGTCTGTCC